AAAATAATTTTTGTATTTAATTACATCTTAATGATAAATTATAAAAATGCTATTTACTTCACTTACGAACTTATCTTATATAGTTTATTTGCCTTTTTTTAATTTTTATAGTTTGTAGTACCACACTGTGGGTGGGACATCTCTCAAAACTTGTTTATCAAGAGGAATTATCCGACACTTTCGGCGCCTATGGCGATATCGTGAGCATTGATTTGATTGTGCCGCGCGGTTGCGCATTTATAGTGATGCATAGGCGTCAGGATGCGCACAAGGCTATGCAAAATCTGAAGAATCACAAGCTACAAGGACGTGCTATCACTATCTCATGGGCCGCGGGTAAGGGTGTCAAAAGCAAAGAATGGAAAGACTTTTGGGATCTAGAATTAGGTGTCACCTACATACCGTGGACTAAATTGGATAGCGATACGGATTTTGATGCATTAGAAGAGGGTGGCATGTTCGATGAAGATTCCATGCCCGGCTGGGTGAAGGATAAAATTAATCACATGAAGAGTCTGAAAGAAAAAGTTTCAGAGAATACCGCCAATTTGCCGCCTAGCGCACCTCCAAGTCAGGCAGCTGGAAATACTGGCTTATTATTTGGCATCGATACAACACAACCACCACCGGGGCCACCACCTACTAGTGGTCCACCCCCAAAAATGCCTATGGTAGCAGTTCAATTCCCAATGGCTCCTCCAATGGGTGGGCCACCACGCATGCTAGGTCCCATGGGACCAATGCCGTTATCTGGTATTCCAATGCCACCGAATATGGTGCCCGGTATGCCGCCGCCACATCCGATGATGATGCAAACTGGTATAATGCCGCCAGCCTTTCCACCTATGCCCGGACAAGTGGCTGGTGGTAGCGGTCCACCGCCGGGCATGGGGCCACCAATGGGAATGCCACCACCTGGCCAGTATCCACCTCCAGCGGCTATGTCGTCCGGTGTACCCCCGCCAGCCGTTGGCAACGCATCATCCAGCGACGATCAAATGGATATTGAAATGGATGAAGAAGATGGACCCAGTTCTGCCAGTATACCAGCACCAGTTAATGCGCCGGCAATGAATTTCAATCAGCCACCTCCAATGTTTGGCGGACCAAGTGGTGGTCCTAGTGCCGAAACCGGTGTAGGTGATATCTTCAGTCGTGATCGAGGTCGTGAGCGTGGCGGAGCTGGTGGTAACAGTCGTTGGGGTGGACGAAGTGGCGCCAATGACGAAGTAGAATTAATAGAAGCTGCAAAAAGGTGGCGAGAAAACGGTGGGCAGGCGAACTTTAATGAAGCAGCCGGTATGGGCGGACCACCCAATTTTAACGATGGTGGCATGGGAGGACCACCGAATTTCAACGAGGGTGGTATGACTGGTGGACCGCCTAATTTCAACGAAGGTGGCATGATTGGTGGACCGCCTAATTTCAATGAGGGTGGTAGAGGCGGCCGCGGTGTTGGACCAATGAATATGCCCCCGCACGATATCAACAATCCACAACATCGTCCTGATTTTATGAATGGTAATTTCAACGCAAAGCTTGAAACAAAATAAATCGATAATTGGATGTAAAAATTTATATTTTCAGACTTTGATGGACGTGGTGGACCACGCGGCGGTGCGGGTGGCCCACGTGGTGGCGGCAATCATAATGGCGATTTCTACCCCAATATGCAAAATCGCTTCAATCAACCGACCAGTCTCATGCAAATGCGTATACCACCACCGAACGCGTTCAATCAGCGCATGGGTGGACCCGGTGGTGGACCAATGTTTATGCGTGGCGGACACGGAGGACCAGGAGGCGGTCCTGGACAGGGACAAGGCCCGGGGAGACAAGGTTTGTAAATATATAAAAATTAATACCATTAAAGCAGATGAAACCTTTATTAATGAGCTGAAATATTTTTAGGTTTCTTTAATCCACGCAATCCATTTGATCGTGACATGCCTGGTCGTGGTGGTAGGGGCGGTCGTGGAGGCCGTGGTGGTGGTCGCGGCGGTATTGGTGGTCATGGAGCGCCAGGTAATTGGAGCGATGAAGAGGGCGATGATGGCAGTGCGTTCAAGCGACGTGGTGCAGCTGGAGCTAGTGGGCCCGCTGGCGGTAGTGGCAATCGTTTTCGTGATCGTGATGCACCCGAAGATTGGCATGGACGCGGCGGACCTGGTGGCAACCGTAGAGGCGCTGCTGTCGGCAGTCGAGATCGTTCCGAACGCGGTGATCACCGTGACAATGAACGAGGTGACCGTGAACGTAGTGGCAGCAATCGGCGTAGCTCACGCGATGCAGCACGCGAAGGCTCAACAAAATCAAGCGCTAAGCCTGAAGATACTGAAGACGATTGGGATCTGGAGTTGGAGGAATACAAACCAGATGGTACATCGACAGCAACGGTTAAAGGAACGCCAACGTTAGAAAACTCCACAACAGCGAAAGATGCTGAAAGCAGTAGAACAGCGAAAGACAAAGAGGAAAATGTAGAGATCGCTGCCAAGAAACATAGCGAAGATGTGCAGAAGAGTGAAGCCACTACAAAAGCGGCGGATGAGCCAGTAGTGCCGGAGACAAAAGTAGAAAAAATATCAGTACAGCCCGTGCAACTAACGGAGCAAAAGGAGTCAATTGAGAAACCCGAATCACAACCTGCAAAGGAAACACCTCAAACGGCCAAACCAGAACCGCCTGCGCCAGCCGTTGAAAACGTAACGGAACCTACTACAGTTGCAGCGCAAGACACAACAGCTGCCGCTGACATACCGCCAACAGCCGCCACGGCAGAGGAAAAGCCAAGTGAATGAACAGAACTTTGAAGAAGATATGATTTGCGTGAATAGAGCGCCAACTCAACTCACATACATATTAAATATTAGCAAAGCAATTTATAATTTTTATTTTTATTAAACATAAATCTATAGAAAGTTACCTAAGAATAGACAAAAACAACAATTTGCTTAATTTGTAAAATAACGAGTGTAACATGAATAATATTATTATACTTTCCGCTACTTTGAAGCTTGTTCTTCAATCGAGTCAAGATAAAAGAGATTTACATTATACAATTTAATGTTTGACACGAACACACGCTAGGGAATTAATTGTGTTGCCAGAAATATGCATATTAACGCAAGTTGCATACACACTCATAATTCTAGTGTGCAAAATGAATATAATGCGATAGAGGCAAACAAGCAACAGCTAATATGTGTTAAAAATATTTTACTGTTTTATTTTACTGATAGTATTCTGTAAGAAGCGAGCAGAAAATTAATCACAAAGCCAACTAAGAAGACAAACTTGAAATTCCATATGTACTATAGCCAAGTTAATACAATTTTGTGACAATTTTTTTTTTTTTTTATAGAAATTTTCACATGCCGGCAATGCTGTGTATTTTGTTACATACATACAACATTTTTAGTGCTTCGACACTTGGCTTACAAAGCAACTACCAACAAATCTGCAAAATACATTTAGTTCACAAACTTTTTTGCGTCGAAAAGAACATACAATTTATATCAAGGGATTCATTTGCCGAGCGTATCATGTTCGTAATGATTGTCCCAGAGCTGAGCCAACAATCAAACAAATCACTAACGATTGCCAGTGATTTGTTATTGAAATTCATAAATTTTAGTTTTGAACGTCGTTTAAAAGTCACATACATAAATGCATACAAGAATATGAATCAAATCTAAGATTTAGTATATAACCTATTTAGATTACTGCAAATTATCGTATATGTATATGTAATACGAATATCATTTGAAGAAATAAATATGCAAATTGAAATGCTCGTTTTCATATCAGTCGGTGATGAGAGACAACAACAAAAACGTTAACTACGGCTGCAAGCTAGAAGCTAGAATACACTTCACAAAGAAAAAAGTTTTCCATACAAAAACTTGGTTGTTATCGGTTAGTTTGTATGGTATAGCTGCCTATAGCGGACCGATTGATACAAGTTCTGCGAAGATTGTAGCGTTGCCTTAAACAATAATCTATGCCAAATTTCGTAAAGATAACTTGTCAAATAAAAAAGTTATACATACAAGGACTTCATTTGTAGCGTTCAGTTAGTATGACAGCTATATGCTGTAGTGGGCCGATTCCAGCAATTGAGCAGCTTTTTGGGATGAAAAGAACGTGTGCAAAATTTCAGATCGACATCTCCAAAACTGAAAACTTTGTTTGGAGTATAATTATATAGCAAGAAATTACCAACATTTTTGTTTATATAATAATTGTTTGAAACGAAAAGCAATAATAAATTTAAAAACTTGTTTTAAGCGGATATTTTTTTGTTTACAAATATTACAGAGTTGTAGCACACAACAGTATTTGTGAAACGAGAATTATTGTAAATCAACACAATGTATAATACGTGCATTTACATGTGTATGTATTGGAGTCGAAAGCTTGATGGTATTTATGTTATGATTATATTCGGATTGTAGTTTCGTATATTGCAGATTTTGCGGCAAGTAAAATTATGACAAAAATTAGCTTTTTTTAATTTTTTAAAAACATATGTATATTTATAATCATTTATAATAATAACTATATTTATTTATCGACATTTCCGGCAATTGGCCTTCCAGTTTGTGGTACATCTTTGACATCGAAAGTACTTGAACGGAATCGACGAAACCAAAATTGTGCCTGATTAGCTGTTACAGTCTGGACCATAAACGCTATTCACATTTTCAGCCGCTTGGTTAGCGTTTTTGCGCTTATCGAAGAAAAACTGTAAAATATAGCGTATTTGCCATTTGCTAGTGTCCATCTTTGACAAGGATGCTTTGGACGCCCGCTCAAACAAAACTGAATCAACCAATGACAAAACCAGAGAATGTTATTAAATAAATAATATTTTAAATAACTATTTATAAGATTCTCTGACGAAATGTTATCTTGCTAACGCCATCTAGCAAAACCCGATCGGACTTATACAACGCGAGCTACAGATAAGAAACGCCATCTATTGGAAAAATAATGGATTTTTATTTTTACTACACCTAATATATTATAATTATATATTGTCAAGTTAATAATTTAACAAAAATCTTCATTAATTATATCTGTATTAACCGCTAAGCCACGCTCCTTCAGCGCTTTCGATATAAGTCGATGTTTCTCTTGCCTTTGTTCTTGTTCTCTACGTTGTGCATCCAGGATTTCATCGACTGATATCTCTTTCAATGGCAATTTGGCTTCTTTTTCGCGATCCTACATATTGCATACAATTAGCTTTCCATAACATTTTTATTCATTTTAAACTTACAATTTCTCCCAGCAACACAACGTTTTCTCCGCGTATGATGAAAACTCCGCGCGGTATATCGCCGTACTCATTGCCTACATGTATACGTTCGATGGTACGGTGCAGCACTAAATTCGCAAATTGATCCACAGAACGCAAGTAACCAATGAGTGTGCGTCCATCACGCAACAATACCATCAGCTTTTCTATACAATGGTAATAAGTCTAGTCATTGATATTTTAAATACATATATAAACTTTATTTGGTTAGCACCAGCTAAACTTACTGTCCACTTCTTCGAGTAGATGCGCTGTACCGGCTAGGGGATTTAAGTCATCCATTTTCCTCTATCGCGTGTATTGTTTATAATATTCCTTATCTAAATATTTTCAATTATTTCAACACATATCTTAATGGCATAAACACATTTAATATATAAGGTAAAAAAAATAAAATGTTTAGAGCATAGCAGTATGCAGGTGACAGGTAGTATACTTTATTAATGTCACTTTGTTTGTTATTACTATTTGAGGGCAGTGTTGAAAATCAACCAAATAACACTTGACTACATTTCCTTTTTTTATTGCATGGGTCAGTAAAGTTGAAACATTATTTAACGTACGTAACAATATTTAATAATGTTTTATTTTCCACAAACATATATATTTCCATTAGTCCCGTATATATAAAACACCCCATTAACTTAAAAAGGTTGCTATCTGAAGTGTATTAACAAATTTGCGGTTGTTGCAGCACTATATACGGATGAAATAATTTAAAGACCAAAATAAAATTTTGTTGGAATATGATCGAGCTGGCAAGTTTCGTTTGAAGCAAAGAATGGGGTGAAATGACATACGATTGGCAAAAGAAAGCAATTGTTGAAACGAGTAAGTTCTCTGCGCGTATTTTGGTGATTTTATCATCAGTTTAGAATCGAATCAGTTGAATGAGAATCGAATAAAAAATCACATAAAAATCAAAAAACGTTCCAATGTACGGTAAAATAGTTATTGCCTAGAAAACGTGACGGAAAAACTGTGAATTGAAACGAAAAGAAGTTGCTATCAAAACGCGGTCGTGAATTCAAATACAATATTTTGTGTAAGAAAGTAATATAAAATATATCTAAATGAAAAAAGTTTTTAGATGATGGAATATTTACTATTCTGCTTTAATACTTCTTGCATATAAAAAAGGGAGCAGTAATCTGTTCTTTGGTTTTGCTCAGACTTTTGTTGTTGTGCGCTAAGGGTCCAGCTGGTAGACTAGTCTAGGGCTAATCAAATGAAAATTTCGCTGTAGTTGTGTAATGCGGCCACTGCCAACCGAGCACGTTACCCCACTTCAGCGCTGATTATTTAGCAAAATTAGCGTAAACGAGAATTCGGTGCTGATGAAGCATAACCAAAGCATACATAAATGGCTACAAATACAATACATAATATAATAGAAAAAGACACAAAAGAAATTTGAATCAACTTAAGAGAAAAAGAAGAAAACTTCAAAATTTTGCTTCGGGTTTTAGAAAAAATTGGAATTGACAACGAAAAATAGTAAATAGCGATTGAAAACAAATGAAAATTCGCAATCTGTAAATACAGAGTAAATTTCCATAACCTGAAATCTGCCAATTGCAGATAGAAGATCAAACAATTGCGCGCTTTAAGTTAATCGAAATTATTTGTGCTGATTTTGAAGTTTTTAATTTTTCAGTTGTGAAAATTTGTGTTTATCATAAAAAATAACAAAAAAAAAACACCTGAATCGATTTTTTACAATACAACTATTTCGAAAGAAAACTTTTGCATTAATAACTACATCATAATTATAATATACAATACAGGCGACAATAACAAACACGAAGCTGGCAAAAAAGAAAAATCGACAGTATATAAGAAATTGTAAACAGAAACGTTTGGATAAAAGGGCAAACAAAAAGGACAACGACAATAACAACAATGAACACATTCGTACGTCATCAGCCGAAAATCCTGCGTAGCGGGCAAACCTGGATGACATTCAGCAAAAATGGAAATAGAAAGTGTAAGTAAAAGAATACAACTAAAAGTAACAACTACAAAAACATAAACAGCAATTGTATTTTACAGTGCATTTGTTTGTGTTTAATTTTGCACGAAAAACTTTCCATTCTCTAAGTTTTTTTTTCGTATTGTATATTCGTTGCTGTTTGAAGTTTTCTTTATATGCCCAATTACCTCATTCCTCGCTGCTTTGCTTTACATATGTGCACTTTTGCGACGACGCGTTACGCAGCGCACGATTAGAGCATCAGCTGATTGTCATGATTGTGCAAAGTCCGAAGGAAAAAAAACAAAACCAAAAAGAAATACATATACTCGTACATATATATACATATATGAGGGACGAATGTTGCAGTGACAGAAATTTAAATATGCATTTTATATACTTATGTACATATTTATAGATAAACACTTTAACTGCATGCTATTAAGCGTCTTCATTGCTTTTTAGTTTCAAAACAAATTGGTGTTGCATACGTTGTATATATAACTGCAATCGTAACTATATAAACAATAATATACATAAATATGTAAATGTGTAAAAGTGGAGCTTTATTGCAGACCCTAAATAAGCCATTCTATTTATTTGCATGTTGATTATCAAATTCACTTAAGTGTTCATATATTTTAAGTATTTGTTTCTTTTCCCTGCTTGCTTTTCATTTGATTTCTGTTAGTTAAAAATTTGCCGGCTAGAGATTTTTTAGCGTGCGTTACGTGATTTGATGTCAATAATTTTAAATGCATAATATTACTATGTATGGATGTACATATGTACCTATACAATATATAATTTTGTTTTTTAATTCGTTATAACTTCTTCCATATCTTATTTTTTCCGTATTTATTTAATCCATGTTAATTTCAATTTGTGTCATAATTTATTGCTAAATAATTCATCGAAATTTTCTCTTTACAAATATGTGTACATACATACGTTTATTTATATACTTTTACTTTTAATTTTTTCCTTATAGTTCGTGTAATAGAAATTCTCACCTTCAATAGGTTCAAGAACGCTTATTTGTATTTAAGTTGACTTGTTGCCAAGAAAATCTCAAGTAGCGGGGAAAGAACAAATGCAAATATTCTGCTAAGTAGATGTACGAAAGTGGCACATATTTTTATTAGGTACATAAGTACATATTTATATACATACATGCTTACTATGTATGCAGGTATATAGCCTTGCGTGTACCTACGCTTAAGTAATAATCCACTAACAAATACAGCATTTTCATAACAATCTAAGTAAATATGCTGTAAAAATCGGTTTAATTAAATGCAAAGATTTCGAAGCAAATATGAAATTTCTTATTCTGTTACGTTTTTACATTCATATTATATCCTAAAAGTGACATCATGCTTCATACGTTTGTTACAACTATGCAAAAGCAAAACAGCAGCAAATATTTATGGTAGATATTTTTTTAGTTAATAAATTCGTTTATTCAAGCGTTTTATCTACATACATACATACATATTTTTTCACTTCTTTATTTACAAGTCCATGTAATTGCAGTCTTCACAATATCAACTAATAAATGTAGTGCGTGCTCATGTCCAGTTCCATGGTGCAATCAATAATTTTCAATTCTACTGCTAAAAAGGCAGTCAATACATATTATTTTATGATTACATTACAATACCATAACTACCTGGTATAGGTATATGGTACATACAACTGCTAAATTTTAAACGAAAGTTTTTGCCACGCTGAATTCATAAATATTCCTTACTGCATTACGAAATTCTGTTCTTGTTTTCTCAATACATATTATATTTAATATAAATTCTTAGTAAATGCTTAACACTCTTTAATTTTGCTTTATAGCTTATATAAAAAACAGCGTTATCTTAAATTGTTAATTAAGTTTTAAACAAAAGCATTATAAATAATATGTACTGAATAAGGAAATTGTTTTTATACCGACAATATATAATTCACATTGAGTAATTATGCAATGTCTTTTCTTTGACGCATAAAATTTTTTAATTTTTAAACCTTTTAAAATTAATTACTTAAATTTGTCACACAAAAAACATTAAAAAACAAAATTTCTGTCATGCCAGTTTGTGCACGTTTGCAATTCGTGTGAATTCTGAAAATAATTGCATTTGTATGTACATACATATGTACCGTAGTATATCAATCCATGCAAAAAGTCAATTTTGTTGACCACACAAAAGCTGTTCAAATTGCCGCGTCCATTGACATTCGCGAGAGATATGCGTCGCAAATGTATTGCGGAGCTAACTGGTAGAGAAGGGGGCAATAGCGCTACCACTACAATATATAATATTAGCTTGGTTCAGTGGTCGTCAAACGTAGACGGACTGACGCCAATAATAGTACAACATGCGAACGATGAAACATACCTATTTAATAATATACATACATATGTATATACACATACACATGTACATATGCATAAATGTACTCGTATGTATTTGCACTTGTGGCGGGTTTTGAAAAAGAAATCACAGTAGCATGTTATTCTATAGACACGTTGCATGGGCAGTTATATTATTTGCTACAATGCATACAAGTATTATCACATTGCAGAACGTTAGGTGAGATTTGTCTGATTTTGTATATTCTTGAGTACCTTCATATATATTTATTAAAAAAAAATTATAAATTTCCTACAATTTCATACCTGTGTACAAATATAGAATGCGGCTTACATTATTATTCACTCAACACTATTTAAAGACCAGTTTCCGTAGATTATAGCTGTTTGAAAATGGAATGCTGGTTTTGATATAATACGTTTTGTACAGATACTTATATAAAAGTAATTTAATCAACTATAGTTGATAAGTAAAAATGTATACATGATTCCATATCTAATTCAATTTGAAATACTTAGTATTCCTTCATGCGTCGCCTGCAGTCAACTGTTACAATTCTTTTACATTTGTTTTGTTATGATAGTTCTTTATGTCATTTGCATGCATTCGTTCTGTAAATATATGTTTGACATATGTAAATATGTCACTTAAAGTTGTGAAAATTTTTAATTGTAATGATAATTGCCAAATCTTTACCCTTTAACACTTCCTTTATTGAAGTTAAGTTAAAGAATATAATTATGCATATGCCAGAACTACTTTTGGAGCTTACTGCATTTATTTACACGTACATAGATACATATGTATACTAGGGTGTTCGTTATATTCCAAGTTTTTATTTTTTATTTATTTTTTATTTTTGCAAAGGCACCTTAAAGTTGCAGTTTTTGCCCTAAAAATAAGGATCCAACGCAAACAAGCTCTTTATTTTTAATTGACATCGTGCCTAAATTATTTTTCTTTTGACATGTATATATGTACCTTGGGATTTTTTATATTGTGCATTAAATAAGTAAGTCTATGACTTTGTGAAACTGATATTCTAACACAAAATTCCGTTCTACAAAAAAGGCCTTACTCATGTTTTTCATAGAAACTTTCGTTTAAAAATTATATACAGTTAAAGTTATACATGAAATGAACTGAGTATTCAACTAGTGATTTACCATATACATCGTACATTCTTTGTTGCTCATACAACATGGTGTACTATATGAATGCATATCGATAAATCGATAAAATCTTTTCTGCAAGACGGAAAATTTTGTGCTAGAATATCATCTTTACAAAGTTTTAGATTTATTTGCTTTAGAGATAAAAACTTGATTGCAAAAGATCAAAAGATGCCATATAAAATATATGGGAAAAGTAAAATGATTTAGTCATGGTTTAAATTGAAAATAAAGAGCTTGTTTATGTTGGTTCCTTTTTTTTAGAGCAAAAACTATAACTTTAGGGGACGTTTGCAAACAAAAAAAAAACAATCAGCTTGTGAAATAACATACAGCCTAATGTATATATACCGAAGCGTGAAATTTACGTGAATATTCCCTTAGGCTCGTGTTTACTTAACATTGTCATAATAAAGATAACACGTAGCAGAAATAAACAGACAGACAGTAGGTGCTAATTGCTGATAATTCATTGAATTGGTAAATATGGGAAAATTATAAGACATTTCTGTGTTTATACGAATTAGAGGTCGCATGGGTAAATGGCTAATTAAGCCTCACAGCATTTCCTGACTAATTTCCAGCTGCTATCAGCTCGTTTTTTTGCAGTATTATGGTTATGATATTTATTGTTATAATTATTGTTACTGTTCTTATAAGTTCTAACGGTATTTTCTGTGGTTATGAATTATCGTTGGCATATAAAATTTGTAATCTTAAATAAATATATCGATTTAATTTATGATCATTATTAACAAAGAAAAATGGCGAAAAAAATATAGAGATACCAACGAAAGTTTCTCAAATAAAGCAAAAAGTTGTAAAAGTTCGCCTGGCTAATTTGTTTTAAAGAATTTTGAAATTACAAAAGCTTTTACAAATTATCTTGAGTTGACAGTTTTTGGGTGTATAGAAGAAAGGGTTATACAGAATTCCTCCAATGCGGTAAAGATCTAATTGGCTTCAGAATTACTTCAGTTATGTATTAAAAAAGCGCAATAAAATAGCTTCAATAGGTCTCATATATATGTATGTATGTATGTATATTATTCGGTACATATGTAAATATCAGGCAGAGTATTTTCTCAATCTCTAAAACTATAGAAGTTCTACTTCCATAATAACCTTAATTGAGGTTTGCACTGGGAGTTGTGGTCTCTTATGCCCTTTCATGTATCATGCGTACTCACAAATGTCCTAGGGAACTTTGATGAATTCCAAGATCTTTCTTTACGCTATTCAGTTAATTTGCTCCTTTTTCCGATATATAGATCAAAGGGTTTGTTCAGCTATCTAACATCAGGTGTACCGAAGTTTCCGACTCCATGTCGCAAAACCGGCCGTTTGCACAAGATACTATAGCCATATTGAACAGGTGTTTCTTGAACCAGTGTAGACTGATGCGCTGTTCTATGCACTATGCACCATACATTTCCCTACTTTTACAACCTCTTTAAAGATTAAAAGATGTTTGTAAATATTTTCTTTTGCAGACTCCACGCCACAATATTTACCACGCTATGCGCTGCGACGACTCAACGGCAGTTCCAGTTTATGGACGGGTGGCAGTTGCACCGGTGCACAAGTTGGAATGCAGTCAATGTTGCTTTCCCGTTGGAATGATATCAGTGAATCCAGCTATCACACTGAGAGCAGCAGCTTTTATTACACAACAAGAAAATTCCATTTATCACGTCGTTTAGGTGAAAATGCTTCGTCAAAAGTTGAGGTGACCGTCAAAACGATGAAGGAAAAACAAAAAGAAAAGGTCGAAGAGATCATAAAGGAAGCAAGCGCTCCGGCTGTTACTAAAGCGGTCGGCGAACCGGTAGAAACTGGAAAAGCCATTGCTGCCGAACCGCCAAAAGCTGTTGTCGCTAAAAAGTCGTTAGGCACACGTGTCTGGGAGGAATTGGTGCATTATTATCATGGATTCCGGCTGCTTTTTATCGATATAAATATTTCACGTAAACTACTGTGGCGTATACTTAATGGAAAGACGCTTACGCGTCGTGAGAATAAACTACTTTTGCGTACCACCTCTGATCTGTTCCGACTGATACCCTTTTCGGTGTTCCTAATCGTGCCGTTCATGGAATTGCTCTTGCCGTTCTTTATACGTTTCTTTCCGGGCATGTTACCGTCCACGTTCCAAACAGCCAAGGATCGCGAAGACAAATTGAAGCAATCGCTACAAGTACGTCTCGAGATGGCGAAATTCCTACAAAAAACGCTTGACGAAATGGCTGTGCAGCATAAGGATCACAGAAGTGAGGATGCCAAACAATTTGCGGAATTCTTCGAAAAAATAAAGGATCCCAAAGAGCATGTACCGATTGAGGAGATCATCAAGTTCGCCAAACGCTTCGAGGATGAAGTCACATTGGACTCATTGTCACGCGAACAATTGGCCGCTTTGTGTCGCGTGCTCGAGCTTAACACCATGGGCACCAGTAATTTGCTGCGCTTTCAATTGCGCGTTAAATTGCGTTCGCTCGCCGCTGATGATCGTGTAATAGCGCGTGAAGGTGTCGACGCCTTGGATCTATTTGAATTGCAGCAGGCTTGTAAGGCACGCGGTATGCGTGCCTATGGGCTGACATCGGAAAAATTGCGTTCACAGCTGCAGGAATGGATTGATCTGTCGCTAAATGAAAAGGTACCACCGACGCTACTCTTATTGTCACGTGCACTACTGATTTCCGACGAAACCGCGACAACGCACAAACTGGTCGAAACCATTCGTGTACTACCCGAAGCAGTGGCCACAAAGACAAAGGAAAAGATTGGCGAAAGCGAAGGAAAAATTGATAACAAAACCAAGATTGAAGTGCTTAAAGAAGAAGAGCGTAAAATTAGAGAGGAGCGCGAGGAAGAACGCGAGGCTGAAAAGGCCAAATTGGAAGAGGAGAAGGCAAAGGCAAACGAAGAATTGCTCAGCAAAGTACCCTATTTACATTCTAGCACTTCGTCTATCACTGAGGAACGCAAACAAGCCGAAGCAAGCAATAATATATCCTCAAAAGACGTGGAATTACTGTCCGATGCGCTAAAATCATTGTCGACAGACAAGAAGATGATGGTTGAGAAAGAGACACTGAAAGATCTCAAAGAGGAACTTGAAGATTACAAAGAAGATGTGGAAGAACTGCGTGAAGTGCGCAATGTGGTGAAGGAACCAGTGCACGAGAGTCGCGCAGCGAAATTGCTCTTCAAGAAGGTGAATAGCATGATAGGACACTTGGATAAGGTGTTAGTGGATTTGGAGAAGAAACGCGAAAGTAAGCAAAAGAAAATTAAAGCTAGCTCGGAAGAAGTTTTGGCGGGACCGTTACAAAGTCAAGAACTTATGCAAGATGAGGATACTGTGCACATCGAAGAGCTTATGAATACCATTAAGAAGGTACGTGATTACACCCGAAACATCCAAAATTAATGTCGTCAACACGTTTTATTTGTATGTCTTTCCTTTCCTTTCCTTTCCTACAATCTTTTTTAAAACTCTAGTTGCAAAAGACTTCCGATGAAACGCGCTTGAAGCAAATCGAAAAAGTACTAAGCAAAATCGACGCCGACAAAGATGGCATGATCACCGTGGATGAAGTGCTGAATGTGAGTAAAGTATTTTATTGCTTAATATTCAAACTCATATATATTATTTATGTATGCTGCTTACATAGGTCGTTGAAGCGATCAGTCGCGATAATGTCAACTTGTCGGACAAACAAATCGAGGAATTGGTGACATTACTCGATAAGGAGAACATCATAGAGGCGGAGGAACGTTTGGAGAAGGCCATTGCGAAGAGCATTAAATTGGCAGAAAAACAAATTAAAGATCAACAAAAACAGGTGGAAGAACAGAAGGCCTCAGATGTACTGAAGGATACTGCACCTGAATTGAAGGATAATGCCAAGGACTTGAGTGTGGATTGTCAAACGAAGATTGTAAAAACGGAGGTAAGTGCTTGAAAGAAGTGTGTAAGACATATATGTATATGTAAACAGGAAGTATTTATGTCATCGTTTGTTAATATTAAACACAGTTGTTAAATATCATAATATTTCCGATGACAAATAACTATTTCGACAACGTTTTGGGTAGTTGTTGTTGTTATGTTAGCGGCAGAAAACAACCGTGCAGTAGTTTGGAAGAATGCTGCCGAGTTAACAGTTCTTGGCCGTATACAAATTCGGCTCCATGCCGTTTACGTAAACCCGATTGTCGTGCGAACGCACGTTTTGGCTAGTACAGTTAAGTTGTTGGTTTTTAGTCACATGTAAATCAGATTTCAAGTTGATTCTCATTATTTTAAGCACCACATATTAATTTTGTTAGTTATCGAAAACAGTTAAAGAGTGTTCGCGTAAATTTTTCGCTAATTAGGCTTTGCAAGCTCAATTGTAGTCAAACTTTAAATTCGGATATTAAACGATAAAATAAGTCTTCCTTTGAAGAAAAATATACAAACATAGTCGAAAAATTTATCGATTGAAGGAAAATAACTGTTTTAAAGAACGTCTTTCTATATACAAACATAGTCGAAAAATTTATCGATTGAAGGAAAATAACTGTTTTAAAGAACGTCTTTCTATATACAATAATAACATATATGAACATGAACATGGTATATTAAGTTTGTATGTATTGTATATGGTATTTATAACCTGAACAGGGTATATTAAGTTTGCCACGAAGTATGTAACACCTCGAAAGAAAATCGGAGATATTTATAAAGTATGTATATAAATGATTAGCGTGACGAGCTGAGTCGATTTAGCCATGTCCGTTTGTATATACGTGATTTAGTCCATCAGTTTTTGAGATATTGATGTTAAATTTCGCACACCTCCTTTTCTGACCAAGAAGCTGCTCATTTGTCGAAATCGGACTCGTATCGGACTACTATAGCATGTAGCTGCCATACAAACTGACCGATCAAAATCAAATTCTTGTATGGAAAACTTTTTTATTTGTCAAGATATCTTCCCGAATTTTGGCATAAATTCTTGCCTCAGACCACGCTACAAGCTCCAAACATATTGTTTAAAACGGATTACTATAGCATATAGCTGCCATTTGAGCTAATCGATCAAAATCAAGATATAGATCGTTTTATATTTGTTATACTATAAGAAATGCACCTGTGAAGTGTATTATAGCTTCGGTGCAGCCGAGGTTAACGGTTTTTTTTTTTGTTTTTCAAACAATTTATTAATATATAGTAAATACAATATGCAAATATTTTCCATAATTATTTTCAGGTAAGCAACGAAAAGAGTCCACTATTGGAGGCAGCAGAAAAGCAAAAGGAGAAGATACTCCCGAAAAATGATATATCCGCGCAAATACCACAACAACCGCTACCCGCACCACCACCACCAACAACAGCGAACCAAGTGAATCCAAAAGATAAAATGCTATGATTTGAGGATGAAGGTGATCAACCCAAAAAACAAACTCCAGATAACAGTCGTCGCAGCAAGTAAAATTGTGTTTAAAACAAAACAAAAAAAAAATATTAAAAAAAAAACATCGTTTGGCGACTTGGTTGTTTTTAGGGGAATAAAATGTGGTGTGCCAGCGTGAGTGTGTGCTGTGTGATAATGAAAAATGTGACTTAGACGTTTGTTGGCGGACTTATTATGGAAAATAAAACTGGAAAGGTGTAAAGTTAGTTATTGAAAAAAGAAGAAAGAAAGAGAAATATGAAATTCAGATGCAAGCGTAAATTATAGCAACTCTTGTTAGAACTGATGCGTTGGAAGGCATTTATAAGCATTTGTCACACAAGTCTTAATTAACGAATTGGCGAAAGGCAATGTAATAATGATAATAAGATAATATTATATAGCAGATATTATATTATCTTTTATTAGTATTACTATTATTGTTTTAATATTTTCTTTGTTTCGTCTCAAATGCTTTTAAATAATTTCCAATGCAAAATTATTGCCTCTCTGAGCATGCCCATTATTTATCAAAACCAAAATTCTAATTTTATTAATTCCAAGAATTCAAATTGTTTTGTAAGCTGTAACGTAATGTATTTGCAGTAGACGAATGCTAATAAATTTATGAAACTAGTGCTTTGTGCTTATTTTTTGGCAACTCTTTTTTTGAACCAAAATAAATAACAAAATAATTTTGACAGTCTGCATTCATGTATATTATGACATTAGGCAACAAAAATGCAGAATTCTGCATTATCGCATAAAATTCGCTTGCAAATGTGACATTAGGCAACAAAAATGCAGAATACTGCAAATTCGCATAAATTATTTATAAATACTAACATCTTTCACTGTTCATGCTGTTGGTCTGCTTACAAAACTCCACCACAAATTGTGAGGCTGTAAAATTACATAAACATATTAAAACTTTTTAAATTTGTTATAATTTTTTATTTGCATTGTAACTGTATAATTAAATTACATAAAGATATTGTAAAAATTTTGATACTAAATGTAAACAATGAATATGAAAGTTGATTAATATGCATATAGAAAGAAAATCAGCGAAATCAATGCAAAACAACTACAACAAATATAAACTGCTCCATACATTAGCAGTTGTAGTAAGTACTTAACTGCTAGATATTGTAATTTAATATTTAAAAGCAAACAGTTTAAGTGAAAAATATAAGTGATCTATGTATGTGTATATAAATGGTTAAATTGGTGGGCTAGTGCTAAAACGTATCTGAAATATGTACGTGTATATGTAATAGTACTAAGTATGTTCAACTTTATTTACAATGAACGAAGAGTAATGCTCGACTTTAAAGCTGTTTCATGTTATTATATAATGGCTTTGTTTTCATTACTGTGTGGTTTTTATTACGAAACAAAGCTATTGCTATTTTCGAAACTAAAATTTTCAGTTATTGATTTTTCGCCACTTCTACCGACATAAAATTGTATAAAGTGCTATTGTTATTAACAAAATAATTTAATTTTTTTTTGAATAAAACAAAGTAACTTACTGTGCTACACGTTTTCATTGATATTTTATTAATTTCCGCAGAATTGCTGCCGCAAGTCGGTATTAAGTTATATATTTAGCTTTTAAAATGTATGCACACGGTTTCGAGAAGTAACAATAAAAACAATAAAAACCCTTTAAACTTCAATATGGGTTCCTAAGCATCAACTGACAACAACAACAATATATTGTAACTGAATATATTATATATGCAATTGCTTTAGTTGCGCTCCAGCTACTAAACATACCAATTTATGTATGTGTATGTACATATATACATATGTATAACCGCGATACTTCGATGCACATGAATTTATGCTTTAATTTTAATTATTTGTAAATTACAAACTTGTATATTATGAAATTCTAATGATATAATTGAGTACAATAAAAACGACATCTAAAAACACGAAAAATCATATGTTTTTGACTGGAATACGCAAATTTTTTTTTTCAATGTATACTATTATTTTGCATTCGGCTCTGTTCCGGTTCGTCTTGGTAATGAAGTTGTTATTATTGTAGCGGATTTGACTCCATTTCGGTATAAATTGCAACAGAACTTATTAGCGTTATATATAGGATAGGGCGGAACATACTTGCTATGCTAATAGGGAGTCTTGAGAAAAAACGAAAGAATTTAATAAACAACCATATTTGGAACTCAGTTGCGCAACGGTTACTCTGATTTAACGAGGCAACTAAAGCTCTTTGCTCGTAAGTAGTACTGGTTTAACTCCTATCACAGCATTCACAAGAATAGAGTGTGTGATTTGATATCTAACCTAACAAGAGCATGCAGACCTGGCTTAAATGATATTCAGGCGGAACCATAAATCATTATGGGTCATTGGAATACCTTGTATAACGTTTCTTTCTCTTTCTTTAGAGAGCTACGTTGTGCGATTTGTGGATTTTATTGGAGCATAGTATAACATTTTGGCGGTGTGGACTGAAGGGATACGCACAGTCGAATGTAACACTGAGTTTTATCGGGTTTTTAAAGTTAAAAAGGTAATATTTCAATATTCCGGTTAAAAGTGTTTTCATTTGTCCAACCAAAAATTTAGATTTTTTACGGAAAAAAAACAGGAAAGCTGAGAGTGGTCCCCAATTCCAATTATGAACTTCGATATTATGCAGTTATAAGCAAACGAGGTCTATTTTAACTCTGGTGAGAGGCTAATAGCATAGTATTTTCCTAAATTGCTTTGCAAAGCTGAAATATAGTATACGTATAAGAAAAATTAAATAATTAAAAAAAATAAAATAAACTATTGAAAAATAAAATAAACAATTAAAAAATTAAAAAAAAAAAAAATAAGAAAATTTCCAATATTAAAATCTTTCTTTAAAATAACCAATTAAAAACTAATTAAATTAAAAACCAACTAAAAAAATAATGCATAAAGTAATTAAAAAAATTAAACATATAAAAATAATAATTTAAAAAATTATATAATAAAATAAAAAATTATAAAAAATAAATTCATAAAGTAATTAAAAAAATTAAACAAATAAAAAAATTCATATAAACAATTAAAAAATAAAATAAAATTTTAATAAACACTTAAAAAATTAAATAAAAACAACTAAAAAACTATTGAAAATTAAAAATTTTCTAAAGCAAATTGAAATAAAAAATTTTAAATTTTTTTTAAAAATAACAAAAAAAAAAAAACTAGAATTGAAAAAAAAGTTTGAAAACTAATTAAAAAATAAAAAACAATGCACAAAGTAATTAAAAAGAGTTAATAAATATAAATAAATTAAGATAAACAAATAAAAAAATTTAAATAAGCAGTTAAAAAATGAAAGAAAAACAACTAAAAACTATTGAAAATTAAAAATTTTCTAAAACAATTTTTTAAAATATAATTAAAAAAAACTAGAATTTAAAAAAAAGTTTGAAAACTAAATAAATTCAAAAACAACTAAAACATTATAAAAAAAACTTTAAGAAAATAAAAAACAATGCACAAAGTAATAAAAAATAATTAATAAATAAATTAAGATAAACATAAAAAAAATAAATTAAAAAATTTAAATAAGCAGTTAAAAAATTAAATTAATTAAATTAAAAATTAAAGAACTAAATAAAAAACTAAAGAACTAAATAAAAAGCTAAAAAAAGAAATATGAAAATTAAAAATTTTCTAAAAAAAATTGAAATGAAAAATTTAAAAACAACTTAACACATTTAAAAAGCATAAAGTTATTATAAAGAATTAAACAAATTAAATAAAAACTTACAAAAAAAAGTTTAAAAATTAAAATTTTTTAAAAATAACAGATTTAAAAAACAACTAAGACTGAAAAAAAAATTTACAAACTAAACGAATAAAAATAAAAAAATAAAAAATTATAAAAACTATAAAAAAATACATAAAGTAATTGAAAAGATTTTTAAAAAAATAAATAAATAAAAAACTTAAAATAAACAACTTAAAACTAAATAATAAAAAAAAAAATAAAATAAACAATTAAAAAACTAAATAATTAAAAATAGTTAAAAAATTAAAAAAAAAATATTTAATTAAAAAAATTATTAAAAAATTAAAAAAAAAAGTTAAATAAAAAATTTTTAAAACAAATTTCAAATAAAAAATTAAAAAAAAAAATATTTTTTTATTAAAAACAACTAAAAAATTATAAAAAAAACTTTTAATAAAAAATTAAGAAAAACCATAATCAAAATCTAATAAATATAAAAAAATAAGAAAATTGAAACAATTAAAAATATATAATATATATATAATAAAATACAAGAATTACAAAAACAAAAAACAAATTTTAAAATTTGAAAAAATTACAGCCTACTATGCAATCATTTAAGTAAAGAACCATACACAATATCTCTTTCAAAACTAAAGAAACATTTTATTGAATGAATATTTTACATTTCTCAAAGCATAAGTTACTGAGTATATGCAAAATAACAAATGTTTTAACAAATTACATATTTTGTAGAACTCAAGGTTAATATTATATTATAAACTTCATATGGTATAAAAATATGTATGTATATATATGAATACACACGATTTAGGAGTATATATGAACTATGCAAATGAAATTTTCGCTTTAACTTCTGCGCCGACAATTCTGCACTTGAACAATTAAATTTGCAACTTCTATTGATTATTAAATGTTTACGTGTATACGTAAATAGGCACTAATACTAATTTATATTTAATTTAAGTTGATATTTTTGTTCTGTAAAAGTGGGAAGCATTTTGAAATTCGAGTTTGATTTGAAAATAATACGAAATGTGCACACACTTAACCATGCAAGGTTAAATACACATCTAACTTATATTAAATATATATATATATATGTATGTATGTATACATGAAATTAATATGTTTTAAGTTATTGTAATATAAATTAATTAATTAATATAATAGTAATGTTTGTATGTAACTAACTTAAAATGATGTTTCGCCGGGATACTCGCTTATGAGCAGTTTTCTGGAGCGCAAGTAGCCGTCCACAAGTTCTATATTCTCTTTGTTTGCTGTCGCATTCGTACTGTTATTGCCAGCGTGCGCCATGTCGCTGCTGTTCGGCGCTGTGGCAGCCGTTATTATAGGAGTTTGTGTAATCTTGCTGTATTCGCTGTTAGCAGCACGTTTGCGTGCATTGTTCATGGCGAACAGCCGATTGCGATAATACGAATTATGTGGCGTGCAACATTTGCTGTCATCAGCTGTAGCTTTTACAATCGTGCTATTTACGTTTGTCATTTGCTGCGCATACGCATCGTTTTTTGGTTTAATTAATTTATCGCTGTCTATTGCAACTTCATCGGGTTCATGGCCGTCGAGGCAATACAGTAAGCTTGGGCTCAATTGTGAGTCATTCAAATCTTCAATATTCTGTGGTGAACAGAAATCATCGGGTTGACTAGAGAACGACGAGTCAACTGGACTAGCGGTGAGTACGCTACGACTGCGTAAATATTCTCTGTTAAAATATTAGAAAAATAGAAAATTTTTTTTTTTAATATTAAATAATTCAAACGCACACGCTTTACTCACTTAAAATTACTGCTTAGTGCATCAACCTTCGCCACACTGCGTTCGTCGTGTGTCAGCGCGGCCAAGACTGGTTGACGCGCACGCATCAATTCGGTGTAACTGTCCAACGAGGTGGCATCCTCGCACTGCAAATGCGGCGCTGCATCTATTTCACTGATTTCGATTTGCGTGAAGTCGGCGCTGTTGCGGCTATGGCTGCTCTCATCCTCGTCCTGCTCGCGAAAACTGGCGTAGTCCGTTTGACAAATCGTCTGGTTTTGATCGCTGGAACTGTGCGTGTTTGTGGTTAGCACCATGACAGGTTTGCGTGAGCGTGGTGTCATTATAGATTCCTAGTATACAGAATAAAGTATATATATTATATATATATAACGGGTGAACCAATGCGTGAGTGGTGTCAAGCTGTAATGTTATTTTTGTTCAGTATTGTTTGGCATTCATCATGGAGACTTACGCCACACGAAGACCGTGGAAAGTCGATTCGGCATCGTTCGCAGCAACTCGAACTGACGTACAGAACGATTTGGCGCATTTTACGTCGAGATCTTGAATTGAAAGCGTACAAAAACAGCTTGTGCAAGAACTGAAGCTGATCGACCTTCCCAAGCGACATCGAGCCAAATTTTGTTCAGCGATGAGGCTCATTTCGGGCTCAATGGGTAGGTAAACAAGCCAATTTACCGCATTTGGGACGAAGAGCAACCTGAAGAGATTCAAGAGCTGCCATTTCATCCAGAAAAAACAACGGTTTGGTGTGGTTTGTGGGCCGGTGGAATCATCGGTCTATATTTCTTCAAAAATGATGCCGATGAGAACGTAACCGTCAATGGCGACCGTTATCGCGCCCTGATAACCGACTATTTGATGCCGGAAATTGAAGCTCGTGATTCGGCGATATTTGGTTTCAACAAGATGACGCCACTGCTCACACATCGCATTAATCAATGGGTTTATTGAGAGAACACTTCGGTAAGCAGATAATTTCACGTTTTGGGTCAGTCGATTGCCCACCAAGATCGTGTGATATTACACCGTTCGACTTTTTTTTGTGGGGATATGTAAAGTCTAAAGTCTATGCGGACAATCCCGCTTCGATTTAGGCCTTGGAGTAAAACATCACGCGTGTCATTCGCCAGTTACCATCGAAAATTGGACGCAACGCAAGTTTTCTGTGTTTTTTTCTTTTAAAAAAGTAGGGAACCTCGAAATGGATCAGCGTGACGAGCTCGAGTCTCACGAGTCTTAGTTTTTGAGATTGAAATTTTCGGCCCACTATAGCATATAGCTATCATACAAACGGAAACATCAAAATCAAGCGTTCATAAGGAAAGCTTTTTTATTTGTCAAGTTATCTTTACGAAATTGGGTTTGGATTATTATCCAAGGCAAAATCAAGTCTTTATATGGAAAGCTTTTTCATTTGACAAGATATCTTTATGAAATTTGGCAACATTGCAATCTCGGAACATATTGTTGGGATAACTAAAGCACCGATAAAATTTAAGATACAAGTTCTTATGTAGTTATAAACATATATAGCTTTGATGTAGCATAAGTTAACGTATTTTCTTATTTGAACTAAAATCTAGCATGCTGTAAATGAAATTATTCATGCGCTTACCTGCATTGATTTGGGCATGCGCTGTGTAGACTTCGTAATCGGCGACATTGAGCGCCTGCCGAGCAGTAATGATGGCGTGCTCGTTATTAATTCCATACTTCTATAAACGCCACACTGTTGCAGCAAAAGCTGCTTGTGATAGCGTGTGTTGCTGTTGTCACTCGAGTTGCTATTGCTACTACGCCCATCCACGACAGTAACGCCAATATCATGCACTGCTCTATAAGCGCTCTCGTAGTTATCTGCCTCCTCCTGTCCCTCTTCCTCATCATCATCCACAGCTGATTCGCTATCGCTGTCCAACTGATCATTGGGGTTATCTACAAAGTTTTCATCGTCCAAATCCTCTAAACTCTCGCTCGCCGCAACCGCTATTAGTTGCTCTGCTTTGTTGTGCGCGCCTACTTTCGGTAGCTCATCGTCGCCTGCCGACCGTCTACGCAACGTAGAGGAGACAGTACGTACCAGCCGCTTCGTGGACTCTGGTGTGGCAAAAGAGAACTTCAAATTGCCCATACTTACACCTTTCATGAGTTTGCGTGTCAACGAACGGCTGCCATTCGCATACTTTGTAACGCTCACTTGCGCACCGGCCGTCGCCGAGTTGACAACCTCACTGGCGTAACTCAGATTCGGTTCCGATTTGTAGCGCGACTTGTATTCGGCCGAATTTTGTTGTATGGGTGTGCCGGGATTCGAGATCTCCTCTATGTTTAAGAGTTGCGCGTCATCCCAAGCGACCGTTTTGCGCACATCCGCGCTAGTGACGTCCACGTGTGCAGCTAGCTGTTTGGCAGCATGTGAAACGAACTTCAGTGGCGTACAGCAATTGGCATTCCAGCGTACGGCTAAACGGTTGGTGGCGCTTTGGGCCACATTACTTTCGTCCGAATTCTGACGACTGACGGGTGCGGAAACGGAGCAGTCGTACTTCGGCGCTGCTGCCAGTGGCATACCATCGCTGCTGGTTGAGGAGAGGGAAGAAGATTCAGACACTTCATCGTTGTTATGGTGTTGCAGTGTCAATTTGCGCTGTTGCGTTATAGACGAGTGCGAAAGCAGTGAATTTGATGAGATCGATTTATGTAATGGATGTTGTTGTAGTGATTTAATGGAATACGGTGTGTTGGACAATGAGGTATTCGAGGAGTTACATGAAGATGTTGGTGTGTTAGTGAGCGTGCGATTAATGGCATGCGTAGATTGGGTGGTGGTTGTTGTTGCTGTAGATCTGATTGGTGTATTGGCAACCGAGTAGTTGCTGCTGCTTTGTGAGGGCGCGGGGCTGCGGAATAGTACCCGCATTTTTGGATTTTTGTGTGTATTTGCGAAATTTGGGGTCTATTGTATATTTAAATGAGTTAATACGTTTGATAAATAGGTAGGTACAGCACATTTGGGTAGGAATAAAACAAAACGAAAACAACAACAAAGAAGTACATGCGATTAACACAAAAAGCACACGAAGAGAGAACAGTTAACAATGAAACTTACTTCAACGCCAGCTGGTGTTGTTGCAGTGGTGGTAGCTGGACGTTTGGGTGTTCTTGAGATGAGACTTTTATGGAAAATGTGTTTCTTGATAGAGTCGCCTATAGATTTGGCGCTGCGCGACGCATCTGTGCCCTTCAATCGATTCATAACCACCAATTGGAGCGGTGTACCTGCCCCAAAGGGAGACAAATTAAAGCGAAGTGCTTAAAACATAACACCATGCAAGACACTTACCCTGTCCATTCTGTTTATTGAATTGTTTGATGAGACGACGCTTCTTGGAAGACTCCGGCAAGCTTTGTATATGCGCGTACAATTGCGCCAACTCGGTATCTGTATTGTTGGCCGTATGCGCCGCTGCTGTTTTCTCCCGATCCACAAATGTATACACCGTATTCACAGTGGACATGTCCGATATGGACTCATCTAATGTTTGTTCCGGTGACATGGTCTTTTTGCGTTTACGTTCCACGAAATAGGCACGTATGTCTGTTGATAATTTTGCAGGCATTTCGAAAATCTCTTGTCCCTTACAAACCATATAAGCGATAATGCTAGACATCGTTTTGGATATATAGTGTAGTGCCTCTGGCGGCAGTTGGCGTGGACAAATCAGATGCGGTGCGAAAATTGTAGCTAAATTTTCTGGTGTCATTTTATTTTCTTGCTCACGCGCAGCCACAGCATTTAGAATTTCTATTATGTGCTGTAGCAATTGGCGATTTTCATCGGGCAGCAACAGCAATAGCAACTGTATGGAATTGAGCAGGTGTTGCTCACGCTTAATGCGTTCCGGATTATGGGGGCGTGTTAAAGTGCCTGTACTGCTGCTACTGCACGAACCTGATCCCAGACATAGCGGCGCTATTTGTTGATGTGCCGGGTAATGAGCGTCTGTGAGCAGTGGTTCCGGTAAGTCGGCTAAATAACCTTTGAATATGGTAGCACAATCGTGTGCTGAATAGCCACCGCCTTCTAAATCGAGCGGTTTGTCATTTTGTACTTGCTGACGTAGCTCATTTTGTCGAGATGCTGAGCCGGTTTTGCGGAAAATGCCTTCTTGCGTTATATCTATTGTATATTGAATATTTTACAAATTAAATCTAAAATATTATTTAGCTTGCTATACATACTTTTCTCAAGCATTAGGAAAGCTTTTAGCTCCTGCAGATGCATCAAGAATCCAGCGTTAATTTGTTGATACAATGCTTCTACCGGACTATTCTCTGCACTAATTGAGCCCTTTGAACCTGAGCTTGTGCAGCCCGCCGCGCCATGTTTCTGCTTTTTAGATAAACGATTCCATTTTTTCAGTTTTCCTTTATCTTCATAAACAATCTCATGACAAGGTAAGTCAAATCTACAATACCATACATATAAATTATAATGTTATTTGAATTTATTTTCTTTTTATAATATAATTTTTACAATTTATTTTTTTATTATCTATTTTTAATGTTCTTCACTTACTCATCTGTATTCAAATCGAGTTCAAATGATAGATGCATACGCACCAGCGACTTGAATTTTTCATAATTTAATTTGCGCATATGCGTTGCTATCTCGGCATCCGAGAGTCGATTTAAATTCACATAATCAATATCCATTGTCTTGGAAAACTGCCAGTTAAAGCAGCTGCGCCTGTGCGGGTGCTTCAAAATATATATGGGCAGCGTTGAACAACCAACGCCTATGTGGTGTTGTTTTGCACTTTTACAGCAATAATTTATGGCGAAAGTCTGCAACCATATTTAATACAAAAAAAAATTAGTTAAACGATGTGTTAGTTGTACTCGAAATCCATGCATATTTTTGTTTTCCATATTATCTTAATATAATAAAAAACTATATACCAAATTAGCGTAAATTAACTTCAAAAGCGTGTATAAAATTTAAGCGAACGCAGCGAATTTCAACCGAACCGCTGACATTTGAAATATGAAAATAATAACAGTGACAACAAAATTGTGCTACAAATAGTTTTCAAGGCAATGTAAATGTCGCATCTGCCACATCTGAAAACGAACAAGCAGGGTGATTATTAATTATTAATTTCTTAATTTTTTTTATTGTTTATTTCAAATATTCTAATATTAATGAAATAAATTAGCTGATTGTTACACAACAAGGTCAAAAGGTTAAAAAGCCAAATAAAATAGCGTAGACTGTTGGACGTGGCACTGCTCACTTTTACAAATTTTACAAGGTACTTAAGGAATGATGACAACCGTCGCCATACCCAGATTGGTCGAATTACTCTATGAACTGCTGTCCCGTATTATCCAGATTTCGCTCTGTACGACCTAAATTGAGAACCTCCAAAAAATATTTTTCAATTATTTATTTGGCGAAAAAAACTCGGTCAAAGCAAAAAAAAAATATTATTACTCAAGTATAGAAGAATACAGGTAATGAATACAGGATTAGCCAAAATTTTGATTTTTGAAAAAATTACGACTTCCTAAAGAAGTATTTTTTTGTGTAAAAGTTTAAATTTAAAGTGGCTTCAAAAATTGAAATTATAATCAAAAATATAAATATTCTTTTGACAAATATGTATATCGAAAAAGGTCGTGCGACAACTTCCAGTCGATCGGTGCAGCCGTTTCGGAGAAATTTTCCTCATCGTCTCTGAAAACAGCGTTTCGAGAAAGAAGGGTTTAAAGCTTTGGAGACATGCAGAGTGCTCCGAAACTAATTGCCAGATCATCTTCCAAATTTCGGAGAATATTCTGAAATATTGTATTCGATATAGGTATGTATATACAAACGATTTCTTAAAATGTAAGATAGTCATAAAAAGCGTATTGAGTATCTGTAAATTAATTTATTCTGTCCAATGACTTCTGATAATAGATGGGTTCAGCTTCCACTCTTTAATAATGGCATGTTGCTTAGAAGTTAGACCGCATAACCTGCCTGCTTAAATTTTTTCTCTACATACTCGAATAAATAACAAATTAGACATGGGAATTTCCTGAAACCTTTGAGAAAATCCAAAAAAATATATTAAATACTTGAATGCTATAACCCAATTAGGTAGCACTCAGCCTGTTACATTGGCTTGATACCAAATGATTTCCTTAACCACCTGGCAAGCTGCAGAGACTGCAACCGAAAACATGTTGCCTGCAATTCAAGCTCCCACAGACACACACAGATGCAGTCACAGCCAAAGTCATAAATTTTGCATCTCTGCTTGCCTTTTTGGTACGACCACTGAAGGTATGTACCGCATGCCACCACCACCATTTAGTAGTGTTGGGTTCAAGAAGATGAATGTGCTCGCCCGCACTTTGACACACAGTGCGTTTTACGAAAAAAATGAATTTAAGGAATCGTAAATTTTACGAGCACTTTTCTTCATACGTAGGTATGCATGTACATATTTTGTATTTGTGTAAATCAGTGTAAATGTAACTTCTGACGGGTGAGAAGTATTGCTTACACTCAATGACAGCAAAGCTGTGACATGTTTGGATTATCAACTGGTAATTCGGCATAGAATTATGTCGGACTTTTTATCACTCTGGGGTTTATTGACGATCCCTTGAAGGTATGTACATATTTTTAAAGCATACATTAACATAAAAACGATGTTTCTAAGAATGGACAATCTGAGACGATTTCAGACTTCCCTTTATCTTCTTTTTCTTTTTTCATTCGGTTATTCCAAAGTAGAGGATGTCTCTGGCAAAGATTTCCACATATGATTATGCTAACTCTAGGGACTCAGTTTCTATTGGTAACCTTCAAAAATAGCTTTTGCGAGAAGGCCACGGACGACGGTGATTCCAGGAACTCCTGTCATCTAAAACATAATAAAGACGGGATCTTAATGTACACATAACATGGACAAAATGTTACTGTGAAGCTATAGTTAAAATTTCAAGTGGATATGTGCGAATACCGTCCTTGTCTGGTTTAAAAAATACGATTTTGAAAAAAACGAGTTGAAAGTTTTATGTGCTGACGGCGCTCTCTCCGAACACTTCAATGTGACGGACAGCGATTAAACTGGGTAACATTTTTTTCACCATGTTATTAATTGAATACTATTTTCAGGACCCTAAAGTGTAATTTAAGCCTAACGGTATTATCGTGTTAAAGGACTGGAAACAATACTTTGAGAAATTATCAGGAACCGGCAGTTTCAAGTTAAGGTTATATTTAAAATCGGTTGGGAAGAAAGTACCCAGACCCATGTAGTTTATAAGTTCAATAAAAATAGATTGATGGTTGTAATATGGTTGCAATAGTTCTGTGCTTTTGAGGATTACTGCTCAAATCAAACGGAAACCTCGTTATTTTCACCCCAAAAGACTTGTCGGACACCGATATTAAAACTTATTCCGCCCAAAAACCTTCTAACAGCAAGCTTCCGGAGCTTCTGGTGAGTCACTATCGATATAAGTGGCCTGGTCTAATTCTGATGGAATACAATTCATCTTCTATTGGCAAATCAGGCCGCCTCTAGGCAATTGCTTACTATAAACGGTCTAATTGCTTAACCAACGCTTGTGCCGTCTCACCGCGATTTGTCGTAACTTACTCACTATTCATCACCAGTAACCATCAGCTTCAGAAATGGATCGATTTTGTTACGATTCGTAGATGGAAATTCGGTCCATGAGATTTTTTGGTGTTAACACTTGTGACGGCCATACATTGATTTTAGTGCAATGTTTAGTTGCTGGTCAATCGTAAGAGTGTTGACATGGCGATGGGACTCAATAATTTCTATTATTTTATCGATATTTTCGACAGTTGGTCTTCCAGAGCGTGGTGCATCATTGACATCGAAAGTGGTTGACTGTTACAGTCCCGATGCCATAAACATTATTCCCATTTTCATCTGCCTCGCTTGCGTTTTTGCCTTTTTTTGTACAATAAAATATGGCGTATTTCCTCTTTGTTGGTGTCCATCTTTGACGCGTACTCAAACCACACTGAGTCAAGCATTCACAAAACTGTTTAAGAAATTGTTTTTAGTACGAAATCTTTTTTTTCTAATGCCATATAGTGTAATCTGCTTGCACTTATACAACGTGAGACACAGCTTTTGTAATCTGGAACCTATTGGAAAAATAATCGATTTCTTTTACTACACCTTTATTATGTAATTTTACAATTACATAACCATCCATGCTGTGCCTTATTAAAAATGTGTTGACTTTACAACTCGTTAACTCTTCAAACATTCTTTGAACGTAATTTAGTTCAGTTTTATTAAATGTTGCGCAACATCTTAATAATAAAACTTTCGAAGTTCCACATAACGTAAATTATAAGTTATGGCTATAACTGTGAACTGCTATAACGCTTATAACGGTAGTTGAACAATAATTCGACATTTCCCCTTCTATGTAAATACAATGTTGCCCATAAACTTAGAGTAACATAACATCCATCAGTGAATAACGTAAAACTGTAAACCAGCTCTCCTAAAATGCTTAAACTGTGAGAGGAGAAAGTGCACAATCAAAGTGGATTGCGAGCGCAAGGACACTTTCGAACACTTAGTTGCACATACCACATTCTGTAAAAAATACTCTCTGCTCTTTCGATGCACGGAAAATAACGACGAGCGCTTTTTAACAGTTATATTGTACATGGCAAGTATTCGTACGTTCCACACATTTTTATTAATGCATGCAATCCGAATGCCACTTTTAGTTCGAAGTGGGCACACACACGCACTTATAAATTGACACCTTTAAACATTTAAGCGACCCACTGCCAAAGTCACGGATACTCAGGTGTAGTGGCAATCGGTTTGATGTGCTTATGTGCCCCTTTTTGGTTATTACACACACATGTACACATATTGCGAGTATTTTCATGTGTATTTTCGATACGTTGAGCTCAAATAGCGGTGCTTGTAAATGGCAACACAGAAACGCTGATAAATAGAGCGCACACATTCATATACAGAAAGGTACGACTAGTTTATGCGTGTTGGTACATGTACATTCAAACATATTTTTAGATACATACATACATATGTGTGTAGTTGTATAACGTTTTTGTGCTTTTACCACCAGCTCAGTCATGCTTAGCGCAGACATTTCACAAAGGTGAGCGGCGCTTCGGCGCTGCTGCTGGCTGTTGGCCGTGTGAAATCAATTGAAACTTGCTGGAAAAACGACTTACAAATAGCCTAACAAAGCGTCAGAGCGGTGCGGGGCACTTGATGTGCCTTGTTTTATTTCATTATATTGGGTATGTTTGGCGTAAGATTTGGTAAATTTAGGTCAGGTTGTCGGAGGGGTTGTGGAAATATTCATTTTGGGGTAGGGCAGTTATGAATGTACTTGTATTTTATGAAATGTGCGGTTTTGCTCGTCATGCGAACAATGTTGTATAGAGTAAATAATACTTTTGAGTGGCATTTAGAATATAATAGTATTTTGCAATGAATTCACTAATTTGCCGCTTATAAAGCTGAATTATATATAAAACGGCACAAAAGCTTGTGAATGAAATTTATTGAAAGGTATTGGTATATTTTGGCTGAAAGGCCTCTTTTATTTTAAGGGGGTATTCTAGTGTAGAATTTTAAAAAAAATCGATTCTTTTTTCGGATTTTCAAAAATTAAATATTTAGGAATATGTCTACGAGAGGATTTTTGAAAATTTAATTTCGGAGCTATAGATATTTTACTGACCCGTACCCTCCAAACTGATTAGGCTGGGTGTAATCGAACAAAAGACTTTTTCAATACGATACCCACGATTTCTCGTATTGCGATTTACTTGAAATTTTTTAAAGAATCTTCTTTATAGGCCTCTCTTGAGTATGAACTAGTCTCATCCCCAAGTTCAAATTTGAACTATTTTTAAAAAATACGACAAAATATAAAAATGGTAAATAAAAATCGTTTTTTTTTCAAACAGTTGGCATTTTGTCAAAAAAAATTTTTTTTTTACTTATCGATTGTTCATACAATTGCGACATCATTGTCGATTGATAATGTTGTTTTCATTTAAGATGACTAGGAGAATTGAAATCATGGGGATGCTTATATGATAATTTTTTTTATTTTTTTCTGCAGTCTTGTGACATTAATAAATAACTGATAAAAAATCGATAGTAAAAATATTAATCGCCTTTTTTTTACGCCACTTTAAAAATTACGAAAAATTCATGTCTCTAGACTAGAATACCCCCTTAATTTCTGTTTGCCATTATTGACAAATATAAGCATCAAGAGCCGGCGATTATTTGAAAACTTGTCACAATAAGTTTGTTGGCTGGAAGACTGCAAATAGAAAAATTATTGTTGAGAGAACTATAACGAGAAAACTCTAACCGTTTCTTTGTGCTCTACAGTATTGTAAATTTATTTTTGCTCTTGTTTATAGTAAATTACTTAGATTGCCGAAATAGCACTTGGCCGGATAAAAGCCGAATCAATGCCGGTAACACAGAACCCGCTGTCGTAGGAATTGCTTAACGTATCTAATAAAGTTATTCGTAAGATCTAGTAAAAAGAAATTTATTATTTTCCCAATAGTTGGCTTTAGTATTATGTAGCTGCCGCTCTGGATGACGCTTTATGGCGTTAGAAAGATAAGATCTCGTACTAAAAACAACTTTTCAGATCGTTTTGTGAATGCTGACTCAGTATTGTTTGAGCACGCTTCAAAAATGAGCGCCTGCTAAGTGAAAAAACGCTATTTATTATAGTTTTTCTTCAAAAACGTAAGCCAGGCAATTGAAAATCTGAAAAGTGTTTATAATACTGTTATGGT